CATAGTAGTACGTCTCTCTCTCTCTCTCTCTCTCTCTCTCTCCTCTAAGTTTGCTCAAATTTCAAATGTTGGGGCGTTGTTTTATTGGTCAAGCCTCTGATTTGGGTCTGTTTATTTGTTGCAGAAGCTAATTTAGTGTGTGAGAGAGAGTGAAAGTGTACTGATCCATTGCTTTTGAGACTGAAGTTGGTTTTCTTGCAGGTTTGAGGTGCAATTGGTTGTTGCCAGCAGGGCTCCGGGTCTCAGATGAGTCAAAGGAGGGTGATGTTGCAGAGGAGAAGAGAAGATTGAAATGTGGTCTTAGCAGTAGGCTTTCATTCATTACTAGCAGGCCCGCATGCCTCTTCCTCCCTTCCCCAATCAAGAAGAATGGGCTTAAACTTCAGTTCAAAGGATTGAACACATTAGAGGATAGGTGAATCTCTCTCTCTAAAAAATTCAGCGAAATGGGTTTTTCCGGGGGATGGTGGCAACATTTTACTTTGTATCCATGCTTGCTTAGCTTGAGGAACCACGATCAATGCAATGGGTTTCCATGAAAATTATGGAAACATTGTATTATGTCTCTGTATTCCTGAAGAAAGTGACTACGAGCATTTATTTTTTCTCAATATTGGAAGCATATTTCACATTCAACATTAATCAACGAAGTCAGAGAGAGAGAGAGAGAGAGAGAGAGCACTTCCTGAATATATATGGAACAAGCTGATACAAGTAAAAGATGAAATCACTATCTGTAATTCATAGTACAACAAACCAAGAAATTCGGATTAAAATAAACTACATTGTCTACATGACAACCATCTGGACAGCTTTTCTTGCAAAATATTTTTTTTTCATAATTATTATGAAGTATGTGAAGTTGTTATCGGTCAAGTAGGCAGCCGATTGATGTGAAACTGTTATTGAGCACATTAAACATCTTTTATCATGTTGCATCGACCTGCTATTGTCCGGAAATCCTCAAAGCTCAGCTGTAAAGTTAAGATCAAATGTATGGATTTCAATAAACTAAATTCATTAAGAAAAGACATAAGTCAATTATTCCTTGAAAAGCTGAAAAGTAAGTGGTGATATCAAAGCAAATCAAATGCGACTTTGGCTCTTTATATATCTTGAAAAGCAGTTGGGTTGTTGGGAAGTTGGTTGAATCATTATCATCATCATTATCCAAGTCTTATTCCAATTAATTAAGGTTGTTTGAATAGCAAAAAGAAAGTATCATCCCAATTAATTAGGGTTGTTTGAATAGCAAAAAGAAAATCTTATCCCAATTAATTGGGGTTGTTTGAATAGCAAAAAGAAATCACTCAAGAATGTACCTCTTTATTTTGTGAAAATAAGATGAATCCATTCATATATCTAAGGGAAAAGTTTATATATGGTTGCAACCTTAAAATGTAGAATCACATATGCACCTCAAAAATCTATCAGAAATGTTATTTTAACATTGAAAAAACCCTCTAATCAATCATCTCGACATTGAGATGTATGGATATGAAAAAAAAAAGTTTTTGAGTCCCAGAAATAGTGCATCTTGCAACACATTATCTAGACCGTCCATTTTCAAGATTTTCATATATTT